TTAAAATCTGAGAAGCCAAGAAGGATAAACTCAGTCAAACAGGATTGGTTATCTTTTTTCATGATATCATACATATAGCCAGGGCTTTTCTTTTGTCATAGAACGCCCAGAACGGAGTTCCAGCACCTTTTTTGGATGGAACCTTGTAGGGTAGGCAAGGCAGGTTGTATGAAGTGTGTGAGTTCCAGCACCTTTCTTTTTTACAAAAAAAAGCACTGCATATAATAGTCTGAAAACAGAAAGGAACATAAAATAAAAATTAAACAATTCTTCTGAAAAATTATTTAAAATTATATAGCGTTCTCAAACTAGACACCTACATGTTTTTCATTTGTATTTACTCAGAATTGGTAATTTGGATTAAATCCTTGAAAACAGGAAACAAAGGCTGCAATTTCAATTTAGTGACCTGTGAATTTGTGATTATCTTAGTGAATCACACAATCATTTTGGGATCTTTTCTCAGAACTTAGAACTGAAGTGTGCATGTGTGTATGTGTTTCAATTGGTTGCTCTGTATGTAATAATTTCTGTTACTATTACTGGGATTCTATAAATAATGAAAATTCAATAACAATTACAAACATTTTTACACATTTCCTTTGAAATGCATCCCTTCTACATCTGAAACTTTGCATTAATATTCCAGCTAGGAAATAAAAAAATATTAGTGGTTAAGGCATTAGAGTAGAAACTGGGAGACTGGGAATTCTAGTCCAGCCCAAAGGCAACTGGGTGACCTTGGGCCAATCATTTTCTCTCAGCTCTCAGAAAAACACAAGGGCAAAACATTTCTGAAAAACCTTGCCAAGAAAATCAAAGGTACTTGTCCAGGCAATCTCTGGAAATCAGACAGAATTGAATGGAAGAAAAAAATGTAGGGGAAGGATTGGAGAAAAGTGACTTAAATCAAAGGAAACCTAATTTCCCATTAGATGTAATTTGGTTCCATTATATACCACCAATAATCAGCCATTCCTAGATGGCCTTTTCCATCTAGACAGAGCATCAAAATGTACAGGCTCAAAAGACTTAAATGTTAAAGTATTAGTGAAAAGCTGACAATAAAACCCTCTTAATATTCCACTGGATATCCTTTGAAAATAAAACATCTTCTCATGAAGTTGCCTTATATGAGGATCCAAACAATGAAATATGATCTTACTTTGTTGATCCTTTTCTGATTATTTTTAGAGAGGTGGGAGACTTCTTAAGGAAAGCCTGAAATTCTGTAATATTCGCTGGCAATGTAACATTCTGTCCTCTGAAAAACAAATGGTTGATATTAAAGGAAGCTGCTTACATAAATCCACCTCAAATATGTTAAAGAGCCCCTGGATCCTAGAGGATTCAAAACTGCAGAGAGAGGGGAGAACCTTTTCTCTAACAAGTCTCATGAGAGAAGCCCAAGGACTCATCCTGGGGATTTGGTAAAAGAGTACCAGAGAACAACTTGAACCAGGGTGGGGGAACTTCTTGGTCTTCCTGAAGGCCTTGAAAACCTGGTTGTTCCCTCATCCTCAGGGGCAGGATCTTAGCAGATCCTCACATGAGGTTTTTGTATTATGTTGTAGGGAGCCCCAATTTTTTTTTTAATTGGTGTTGCTTTTAGTTTTTATACCATGTTAGCTATTCATTTATTTGGTTAAGATGGGTAGCTAGTTTAGGAGAGAGCTAAAGGATGTCATAGAATTGTTAACTTAAGGGTAACATAATTTAAGACAGAGTATAATTATTGTATTGTAAACCCTGTGTGTAGCTCTGGGAAGTCGGGGGGAAGGGAGGGGGGTGGGGAAGGGTGGGGTTTGAGGGAGGGGGGGAGTTATATTGTAAAACTTTTAAAAATTTTCAATTAAAAAAAAAAAAAAGATGGGTAGCTATGTACATTTTCCAAATAAACGAATAAACGAAATGTTATCAAGATTAGCTAAGCATTTTCTTGTTCACATGACAAAAATATTATGAATGGCAAGGGTCAAATAGCTCTTGCAATGCAAATGTGGCCATCTGTTACTGTTGCCTAAAGCTTCTCCCATTTTCAATAAATCTCTTTTTATTTGCAATGCTGGAGAATCTCACGACAGAATGCAATTCTATTTTTTTTTTCTGGCTGTTACAACTCTGCTTCCTGGGATCGATGGCAGGGACTGAACTTTTCCTCTTGGCCATTATGATCTCTATGTGGCTTTAGGCAACATTTTATGATACATGCTTATTGTGAAAGACTGAAGGAAAACAGCAATAGCACTTAGACTTATATACCACTTCACAGTGCTTTGCATCCAGTGGTGGGATTCAGCTGGTTCACACCACTTCGGCAGAACCGGTAGCTAATTTTTTTGTTACCCAGGCCCAGAATGGAATTCCGGAAGTAGCATCCACACAGAGAACTGGTTGTTCACATATTTGAATCCCACCACTGTTTGCAGCCCTCTCTAAGTGGTTTACAGAGTCAGCCTATTGCCCCCAACAATCTGGTCCTCATTTTACTGACCTTGGAAGGATGAAAGGATGAGTCAACCCTGAGCCTGTGAGACTTGAACTGCCAAACCGCTGGTAGCCAGGAGTCAGCAGAAGTAGCCTGCAGTACTGCATTCTAACCACTGTGCCACCAGATAATAGAATAGAATAGAATAGAATAGAATAGAATAGAATAGAATAGAATAGAATAGAGCTGGAAGGGACGTTGGAGGTCTTCTAGTCCAGCCCCCTGCTGAAGCAGGGGAGCCTAAACCATCTCAGACAAGTGATTCTCCAGTCTCTTCTTTAAAACCTCCAGTGATGGGGCTCCTATGATTTCTGAAGGCAAGCTGCTCCACTGGTTAATTGTCCTCACTGTTAGGAAGTTTCTCCTTAATTCCAGGTTGCTTCTCTATTTGATAAATTTCCAACCCTTGTTTTTTGTCTTGCCCTCTGGTGCTTTGGAGAATAACTTGACCCCTTCTTTTTTGTGGCAGCCCCTCAAATACTGGAATACTGCTTCATGTCACCTCTATTTCTTAAATAATTATCATATTGTTTCTCCTCTCATTATCATACATATGTAATTAATTTAACCCCAAGATTCTTAAATGGATATAATGTTGTTTCCTTCCTGCTTGGTTGTTCTCTTACTTTAAAAAAATAGCTCAGAGAAGTTGATTGAGGGACAAGGTTTATTTTATTTTATTTATTTATATTATTATTTTATTAAATGCATAAATATTCTAACATGTTGCTACTATATGTATCTGCAATTAAACTCTTATATTGTGGTGCATTAATTTCTACTTGATTTGAAAAAAACGGCACAAGACATTTATTTTCCCACACATAGGATGTCAGAAATTAGAAGGATCATTATAGAGAGTAGATAAGTGGGAATATTAGGCGTGGAATTGCTTTGCCCAATAATTTGACATTAGAATGGGAGGAAGCTATGGGTAGGTTGGGGGGGAATAAATAAATGTGTGTGTGTGTGTGTGTGTGTGTGTGTGTGTGTGTGTGTGTGTGTTTCAATACATACTGTATAGGCATTGTTCTGGGCTCTGTTCTGGGCCCAGTGCTCTTCAACATCTTCATCAACGATTTGGACAAAGGGATAGATGGGGAACTCATCAAATTTGCAGACGACACCAAGCTGGCAGGAATAGCCAACACTCCAGAAGACAGGCTTAGGATACAGGAGGATCTGGACAGACTTGAACACTGGGCGCTATCTAACAAAATTAAATTCAATGGTAAAAAAAGTAAGGTTCTACATTTAGGCAAGAAAAACCAAATGTACAGGTATAGTATAGGGGGTACCTTGCTCAATAGTAGTAACTGTGAGAGGGATCTCGGAGTCCTAGTGGACAATCACTTAAATATGAGTCAGCAGTGTGCTACAGCTGCCAAAAAGGCCAACACAGTGCTGGGCTGCATTAACAGAGGGATAGAATCAAGATCATGTGAAGTATTAATACCACTTTACAATGCCTTGGTAAGGCCAGCCTTGGAATACTGCATCCAGTTTTGGTCACCACGATATAAAAAATATGTTGAGACTCTAGAAAGAGTACAGAGAAGAGCAACAAAGATGATTAGGGGACTGGAGGCTAAAACATATAAGGAACGGTTGCTGGAATTGGGTATGTCTAGTTTAACAAAGAGAAGGACGAGGGGGGATATGATAGCAGTGTTCCAATATCTCAGGGGCTGCCACAAAGAAGAGGGAATCAAGTTATTTTCCAAAGCACCTGAAGGCAGGACAAGAAGCAACGGATGGAAACTAATCAAGGAGAGAAGCAACCTAGAACTAAGGAGAAACTTCCTGACAGTTAGAACAATTAACCAGTAGAACAACCTGCCTCCAGAAGCGGTGAATGCTCCAACACTGGAAGTTTTTAAGAAGAAACTGGACAGCCATTTGTCTGAAATGGTATAGGGTTACCTGCCTGAGCAGGGGGTTGGACTTGATGACCTCCAAGGTCCCTTCCAACTTTTTTACTACTACTACTACTACTACTACTACTACTACTACTACTATTATTATTATTATTATTATTATTATTATTATTATTATTATTATTTGCAAATATATTTAAATACACATATTGAAAAATTGTCACATTCATAATAATGTTTATTTTCTATGTTTAGGTTACATCTACTTCCTACCCAATTGCTGTGTTGATGCAAAAGTAATAAAAATGTATGTGTGGTTTAACTGTCTATTGCACTGGGGATCCTTATGGCTCCTGTTTCTACTTGACTTTGACACCACTGTTCTACGAAAATGGCCAATCAATCCTTTTCTTGCATTCTATCATTATAATAAATTTAGCTTTCCTTTCATGTCTCTTCCTTTCTTTAAATAAATCTATCCCCAGATCTGAGTCATTCTAGAGTTAAGGGTAACATCAGCCCACTAGCATTTTCTAGAGTTACTTCTATCCCATAAATGTGTGGATGAGATAGAGATGAAACTGATGGATATAATGGGATTATATCAATTATTATTGGATTATTATATTGGATTATTACCTAAAGAAGATCCATTTCCTTGCTACCGATGTTTTGAAAGCAGCTTTTATTTCTTTATTTCTCAAGCTGTAAATAATGGGGTTCAAGCTTGGAGTCACTACTGTGTAGAGCAGGGCAAGGATCCTGTTATCGTCCACAGATCCTGAAGAAGCTGAATTGGGATGAATGTAGGTAACAATGATGGTTCCAAAGAAAATGAAAACAACAATGAGATGTGAGGAACAAGTGGAAAATGCTTTGTGCCTATTCGTGGCCACTGGCATTGTGAGAATAGTGGAGACAATGAGGAGGTAAGTAAAGAGGATGAACAAAAGGGGTGCCAGGACAAATACCACAGTTAGTGTGGCATTGGCCATTTCATTTTTGTAGGTATTGATAGAAGTCAGTTTCAGAACAGGCATAAGATCACAGAAGAAATGGCTGATTCTGTTTGACCCACAGAAGGGAAGAGTGAAGATTGAAATAGATTGCCCCAAACTTCCAAAAATACCAGTGGTCCATGAGATGGCAGCTAACCTAGCACATTTCTTGTCATTCATGATGCAGGGGTATTGCAAGGGTTTGCAAATGGCAACATAACGGTCATACGCCATAACACAAAGAAGACAACACTCAGTGACACTAAAGAGAATGAAGAAGCACATTTGACACCCACAGCCCCAAAAGGATATAGTCCGGTTCCCTGATAACAAATTCATTAGGATCTTTGGGCTGATGGTGGAGGTGTAGCCAATTTCCAAAAAGGACAAATTCCAGAGGAAGAAGTACATTGGGGTGTGGAGTGTGGGACTGGCAGTGGTGAGGGTCAAAACCAGGCTGTTGCCCATCAAAGCCATCAGGTAGAATATTAGAACCAGACAAAACAGAAGTTCTTCAATAGACTTAAAATCTGAGAAGCCAAGAAGGATAAACTCAGTCAAACAGGATTGGTTGTCTTTTTTCATGATATCATGCACATAGTAGTCTGAAAACAGAAAAGAAACATAAAATAAGAATTAAACAATTCTTCTGAAAAATTATTAAAAATTATATAGTGTTCTCAAACTAGACACCTATATGTTTTTCATTTGTATGTACTCAGAATTAGTAATTTGGATTAAATCCTTAGAAATGAAGGCTACAATTTTAATTTAATGATCAGTGAATGTATTTGTAATTATATCATCTTGGTAAATCTCACAACTGAATAGTCCTCAAACTCCCAATTTGGTCCCTCAAGTCTGTAACTGTGTGTGTGTTTTAATTGGTTCCTCTACCATGTAATAATTTCTGTTACTATTTCAGCAGTTCTATAAATAATGAAAATTCAATAACGATTACAAACATTTATATATATATCCTTTGAAATACATCCCTTCTACATCTGAAACTTTGCATTAATATTCCAGCTAGGAAATAAAAAAATAAAAATTAAACAATTCTTCTGAAAAATTATTTAAAATTATATAGCATTCTCAAACTAGACACCTATATGTTTTTCATTTGTATTAACTCAGAATTGGTAATTTGGATTAAATCCTTGAAAATAGGAAACAAAGGCTGCAATTTCAATTTAGTGACCTGTGAATTTGTGATTATCTTAGTGAATCACACAATCACTTTAGGATCTTTTCTCAGAACTTAGAACTGAAGTGTGCATGTGTGTATGTGTTTCAATTGGTTGCTCTGTATGTAATAATTTCTGTTACTATTACTGGGATTCTATAAATAATGAAAATTCAATAACAATTACAAACATTTTTACACATTTCCTTTGAAATGCATCCCTTCTACATCTGAAACTTTGCATTAATATTCCAGCTAGGAAATAAAAAAATATTAGTGGTTAAGGCATTAGGGTAGAAACTGGAAGACTGGGAATTCTAGTCCAGCCCAAAGGCAACTGGGTGACCTTGGGCCAATCATGTTCTCTCAGCTCTCAGAAAAACACAAGGGCAAAACACTTCTGAAAAACCTTGCCAAGAAACCAAAGGTACTTGTCCAGGCAATCTCTGGAAATCAGACAGAATTGAATGGAAGAAAAAAATGTAGGGGAAGGATTGGAGAAAAGTGACTTAAATCAAAGGAAACTTAATTTCCCATTAGATGTAATTTGGTTCCATTATATACCACCAATAATCAGCCATTCCTAGATGGCCTTTTCCATTTAGACAGAGCATCAAAATGTACAGGCTCAAAAGATTTAAATGTTAAAGCATTCGTGAAAAGCTGACAATAAAACTCTCTTAATGTTCCACTGGATATCCTTTGAAAATGAAACATCTTCTCATGAAGTTGCATAACGTGAGGAACCAAATTATAAAACATGATCTTACTTTGTTGATCCTTTTCTGATTATTTTTGGAGAGGAGGAGACTTCTTAAGGAAAGCCTGAAATTCTGTAATATTCGCTGAAAGTCCTGATGATTCCTCTACCACAGCAAAATCTTCATATAATCTTTCCTCTGGAAAAATAAATGTTTGGTGTTATGGAGGCTGTTTACATAAACCCACCTCAAAGACTGAAGGAGGCATTGGTCTCCTAGGCCCTATGGGAATCCAAAACTCCAGAGAAACTGGAGGACTTTTTTCTCTAACAAGTCTCATGACAGATGCCCCAAAATTCATCCTGGGGATTTGGTAAAAGAGTACCAGAGGACAACCTTGACCGAAGGAAAGAACTTCTTGGCCTTCCTGAAGGCCTTGAAAACCTGTTTCTTCCCTCATTCCTAGGGGCAGGATTCTCAAAGATCCTCATCTAGGGTTTTTATATTGTGTTGTAGGCAGACACAATTTCTTTTAATTAGTGTTGCTTTTAGTTTTTATACTGTGTTGGCTGTTCATTTATCTGGTTAAGATGGGCAGCCATATACATCTGCCCAAAAAATTTGAAAAATGAAACCTCAGCAGAGTTTGCTAGCATTTTCCTGTTCACATGACAGAAGTAATAATAATAATAATAATAATAATAATAATAATAATAATAATAATAATAATAATAATAATAATAATAATAATAATAATAATAATAATAATAATAATGGTAAAGTTGGAAGGGACCTTGGAGGTCATCTAGTCCAACCCCCTGCTCAGGCAGGAAACCCTACACCATTTCGGACAAATGGCTGTCCAGTTTCTTCTTAAAAACTTCCAGTGTTGGAGCATTCACCGCTTCTGGAGGCAGGTTGTTCCACTGGTTAATTGTTCTAACTGTCAGGAAGTTTCTCCTTAGTTCTAGGTTGCTTCTCTCCTTGATTAGTTTCCACCCATTGCTTCTTGTCCTGCCTTCAGGCGCCTTTGAAAATAGCTTGACACTCTCTTCTTTGTGGCAGCCCCTGAGATATTGGAACACTGCTATCATGTCCCCCCTTGTCCTTCTCTTCGTTAAGCTAGACATATCCAATTCCAGCAACTGTTC